CAACAACGTTTTTCTTCACAAACTCTGTGGACTGCAAAACACAGAAAACATGTCTCAGTATAGAAAAAAATTACAATGCTCATAGTGACATTAATTCACATTCAAATGCAATATGTACAACTCATCTATGTCATTTTAGAGACAGCCTGAGTCACACTAGCAAAACAAACATTGTTAAGATCTTATGAAGAAACTGTCTGCACAGTAACTACAGTTAGTTGTTTCTTTGTCATGTTGATAATGAGAGCTTATACATATAATCAAACAGAGAACGGCCAAAAACCCATAATCTCTCACTACCCCACTGCATTTTTTCTGTAATTGAGGATTTGTGATTAAGTTAAAAATTTGCTGTTTTAGATTAATTTTTGATATTTTGCCTTATTTAACAGTATCAATATAGATAGGAAACAACGGGGTTTGACACGCAATAATGGTCTCAAAATCAATGATAGAGTAAGTGTTTTAATGACCACCAGGTTGTCCCTTATCTTGGTGTGATGGAGGGGTGAAAAATATTCGACTGATAGCAAAGTTCTGCTTGGCCCTTGAGTGACAGCTGAACCAAAACATAACACAAACATTTTACCTTCTCAACAAATGTTTTGAGCTCTGGGCGTGCTTGATCGGTGCCCTTCTTTAACTGCTTCTTAGCTTTGTTGACATCCTTCTCTACTCTCTTCCAGTCTACTTGGATGTAGCCACTATTGTTAGCGATCTGTTGAAGGTGAAGCAGATGAAAAATAGCTGAGTGGCAGATTCACAAAAGTGTTTTTATTCTGATGAAAAGCTCAAACCTTATGTGTTTATGACAACGATGTAAGAATACCTGCAAGAGCAGAAGACCTCCCCCTACAGACATAGCAGCGACTTTTCCAACCTTCTGGAAGAGATATCCTGCACACCTAAAATGAAGAGGAGACAGGGGAAGAAGTTTATCTAATATAAATAATGACCTCAACTTCATTTAAATTACTGCTATACGGTTTGCTTGACAGTGCCCAACACTTAAAGCATAACTGAAGCATCATTAAAGCATCACTAATAGATAAAAACTATTCCAGAATGTAGCGTTCCTTGATTTGATTGCTCTGAACCGTCTACCTGACGGCAGCAGTTCAAAGAGTGAATGTCCAGGGTGTGAAGTGTCCTTAATGATGTTCTGGGCTTTTTTGAGGCAGCGGGAACTGTGTAGTTCTTCCAGAGTGAGGAGAGGGCAGTCGATGATCTCCTGGGCCGTATTAATGACCCCCCTGGACCATTTTCCTCTGACCCACTGTGCTGCTGCTGTACTATACACATACACAGTATGTAAGGATGCTCTCAATGGAGCACTGATAGAAGGACACCAGCAGTCTCTGCGAGATGTTGTTCTTCCTGAGCACCTGTAGGAAGTACAGTCTCTGCCGGGCCTTTTTAAGCAGTCCAGGTATTCACGCCCCAGGTCAGATCCTCCTCAATATGGACTCCCAGAAAGCGGAAGGCTGGCACCCTCTCCACACGGTCCCCGCTGATATACAGTGGCCAGATGTCGGTTTTCTTCCTCCTGAAGTCGACACTGACCTCCTTAGTCTTTTGAGGCATTAAGGAGCAGATTGTTCTCTCTGCACCACACTATCAGCCTCTCCACCTCATCCCTGTAGTTAGTCTCACCCCCCCAGAGATAAGCCTCACCACCGTGGTGTCATCAGAAAATTTTACAATGGTGTTGCTGTGGTGGGCGGGGGTGCAGTGGTGGGTGTACAGGAGAGGGCTCAGCACACAGCCTTGTGGGGAACCAGTGCTGAGGCTAAGAGCTGTGGATGTGTGTGGGCCCACTCTCACCCTCTGGCTGCGTCCAGACAGGAAGCTCTTAATCCATATGCAGGTGAAATATGGAATTCCCAGGTCCACAAGATTGTCCACCAGTTTGTGGGGGAGGATGGTGTTGAATGTGGAGCTATAATCCACAAAGACCAGCCATGCATAGCTCTCCTGATGCTCCAAGTGGGGCAGCACTGGATGGCTGTGGCTATGGCGTCCTCTATTTGCCCTGTATGCAAACTGGTGTGGGTCAGATGGTGGTGGGAGGAATGACATAATGTGTCTCTGTACCAGTTTCTCAAAACACTTCATCACCACTGGAGTGAGTGCAATTGGCCGGCAGTTATTGAGGCTGGTTATGTTGGGTTTCTTAGGCAGGGGAACTAGGACGGAGGACTTCAGGCAGGGTGGGACAGTGGACTGGGCCAGAGACTGGTTGAAGATACTGGTGAAGACTCCAGCCAGCTGGTCCGTGCAGTCCTTCAGCACACGTCCTTGGACACCATCCAGTCCAGCAGCCTTCCTCTGGTTTATAGTCCGCAGCTGTAATACTGCATATTATCCCAGACGGCCCTCTCCATTCAGACAGAAGGAAGTACAGGGTGGTGGAGGAGACATGAGACAAGACGAGTATTTTAAGGTAAATCAGAATGTAGTACAGAACCCATATGAGATGAAGCACTGGACTATTTCTGAACCACTCAAAATATTTTTTTTTTATGTATACTACTGGTCAAAAGTGTGTGGTCACCTCCATTTTTGCACTTCTTATGCTGATGTTTAAGCAGTTCAAGTCCAGTTAATAACCTTAAATGATACAAAGCTATGATGTAAACTGGCAGTTATTTAGTAAGTAAGTAAGCCACTAAAAACCAAAATTCTACGTGAATTTTATGTAAACCAGGCATGTTCAGGACTTCAGTAACAGGTGAACTTCCATCTTTTCTGCAGCAATGAAAGTAAATGAAGCCTTGAAAACTGACGTAAACAGTTCCTACAGGTGTCCCAGCTTTTGTTGATGACTTGCAGCAACATTCTCTCTGTACAAAGGCAGTGTTGGAAAAGACTGTGTTATTACACCCTCTGAAGTATTATTTAGAAAAAGGCCATTAATAAAGGAGGTCAGCGCTCCTCTGGGTTTCAACCTGCAGTATAGCAGGAGAATGAGCCAAAACACCTCCGGACTGTGGAGAAAAGAACAAGACTGTGGGCAGAAAACGAAGTGGGAGAGTTAAAGAAGGGCGTCTGGAAGAAGCATAATGAATTTCAAATGAAGATATTTACCATCCACTTACTCCCCCTATGGCTAGCTGAGTGGCCACGGAGTATTTCTCTGCTAGAGGGCCGGAGTTTTGTCCGAAGAGCCGGTTCCACCATCGCTGACGTTTGGCATATTCCGTGATGTCTACGACTTTGTCGTAAATCTCATCTTCCAACTCTTTACATTCATGCAAAACATAAAAACATGCAACATAATGTTAACAGATAATAGCAACGAACGAACCGATGTCCTGCAGTGGTGACTGTGTACAAAAGGTAAGGCTGCTATAGCCTATAAGGCTAATCTGATAAAATATTGCAACTGTTCCAAACTTGACGCAACACTTTAAACGCACTGGTATAACTTGGTAATAAACAGTCCGTCCAGAAGTTTAGGTTACAGGGGTTTAAACAGCTAGCTAACGTAACCGGTGGCTACATTTTCAATTTGGAAAGTTCTGTTGTAAAGTTAGCACCATCACCCAAGTAATGCTAAGCGACATCTAAAAAGTTAGCTACGCTGCTGTACGTCTGAAGAGGGAGGCCGAGTTTTAGGGACAACCAAAATAAAAGGTAACCAACACTTTTTATGGATAAACCATGATTAGATCATTCTAATTGTGCTGCTGTCCAGTTCAGGCAGTGATGTAGTTGGGTTATGGGCCTGCTTACCCTTATTGCGGTCCGCCATTTTGGAAAACGCTGTTCGTGTCCTCAGCTGCGTGCACGTCTACACAGGTGTTATGTGGAGATGTGTTTCCTGTAGCCTGAATCTCTACCTTATCCTAACCCTAACCACCGAGGAGTTTTAGCAGGGGGAGACACATCTCAATGGGGGAACAGATTTTGACACAAGACCAGCGTCATCTGCATCATTTGACGGTCAAATTAAAAAAACAGGTCTGCCTGTAAAACTGTATTTACACACTGTGGTGGTGATAATAATAATAATAATAATAATAATAAGCTAATTGTGGGCTCTTTCAAAATAAACAGTTTGAACATGCTTTAATCAAACTTCATCAGACACTGAATTAGAAAGTTTACTATTTAGATTCCAGTGTTGACAGTTCCAAGAACAATGTTCAAGAAGAGCATGCATACACATATAATGTATATACAATCAAGTAGGTGAAGAGCAAGGGTGTATAGGAATAGCTTAAGTGTTAGCTGCAGTTATTACTACTTATTTAAAAAAATAAAACCGAGCAAAGTGGTACAACACTACTACTACTACTAACAAACAAATGTAATTTAATTAAAAATCAAGCCTGTCTGTCATGTTGGGTCATCATTATCATATGCACTGAAGGTGGTTAGGACACAAGTAAGGACAAGTAGAAGTTTTGGTTTTTAACCAAAGGCTTCCTCCACATGACTGAGGCACTTCCCAAAATAACAAAATATATGGAAGAAATCCAGTCAAGAGGACAAAGGGTGACTTTGAAATAGCAGCAATATGGTAAAATCGTATAGTGTAGCTGTGATTAAGTTGTCAAAGCAGCAGATATAAAAATGCCTACCTAACATGCAGTTGGTGGGGTATGTACAGGTGTCTGGGGCAATTTTGTTGTTTGGTGGTGTATTTTTCTATGGTTTCTGACAACAGGGCCATGAACAGCAGGTATGCCATATTGAGAAACTGACTTTGTGTCCTCCCTGAAATATTTGCCATCAGTTTTTGAAAAATCATCTTTGACCAGCAGATGAAAAGTACTCTTCCATCATGCCAGGCTTCTCTTACTTTACTGAACACACAGCCAAATTAATTTAAAATTAGAGCAGCTTAAGAATTAAATCATTACACTCCCTCCAATGTGTATTACATTCTGACAGAAAGGAAGCAGCAGGTGAGGCTGGGGAAAACCACATCCAGCACCCGAACTATCAGCACAGGTGCCCCCAAGGGATGTATGCTCTCCCCGGTGCTGTTCTCCCTTTACACAAATGACTGCATCTTGGAGGACCCCTCTGTTAGACTCCTAAAGTTTGCAGACAACACAATGGTCATCGGTATCATCTGAGATGGTGACGAGTCAGCCTATAGAGGGGAGGTTGAACAACCACTGCAACAACCTGGAGCTGAACACACTCTTAACAGTCGAGATGACAGTGGACTTCAGGAGGTCATTCAAGGTCCTGGTCTCCACTGTCTCCCAGGACCTGAAGTGGATGTCCAACATCAGCACGTCATCAAAAAAGCAAAGCAAAGGATGTACTTCTGTCATCAGTGTCAGCTCAGGAAGTTCGACCTGCCCCAGGAGCTGCTGATACAGTTCTACAGAGGAATCATCGAGTCTGTTCTCTGCACCTCCATCACTGTCTGGTTTGTTCCAGGAACCAAAGAGGACAAGTACAGACTTCAGTGGACAGTCAGGACTGCAGAAAAGGTCATTGGTGCAAGCCTGCCCTCCATGGAGGACCTGTACACCTCACGGCTCACAAGGAGGGCAGAGAAGATTTCTGCAGACCCCTCACACCCTGGACACAATCTGTTTGAACTCCTCCCCTCTGGACAGCGTTGCAGGTCACTGTACGTCAAGACAACCAGGCACAGGGACAGTTTCTTCCCCTGGACCTTAATTCTAATGAGCACTTAACCCATGACTGTATAACAGGACAACCACCCTATATCTATAAATGCATCTTTGTATATATCGGTCTGGAAAATGCATCTAAAATGCGTGTATATATAGTTCTCTATTTATAAGTACTTTTAAAAAAAAATCCTAATGTACATTACTTTTTCTTGTTTGCACATTAATTTTCTTTCCTTTTTGTTTTCTCAGCTTTATACTGTTTACTTGTATATTCGCTGCTTTACAGCGGGGCCACGTACATACACTTTGAGAGCCATTATACCAGAGTCAAATTCCTGGTGTGACCAACACATCTGGCCAATAAAGCTGATTCTGAACATCTTGTAAAGCCGTCCCCCACAGACAAATTGACAGCTATTTGGGCCAATAGACTGCCTTAAATTATAGTTACGTAATCATAATAGAAGACGAAAAACCAATCAGACGATTCAAGGCGGGCCTTGGGAGTCTATTTCATGTGTGCGTGCGCGCATCCGTCCGCGTGCTAGCAACATATCAGTGGGATAAGTCACATGACAGCAGATTCCGGGCACTGATTGGTTAGGATGAGCAGAGGGCGTGTCGACGGTGGCGGCGTGCGTTTGCCTGTGTGACACAATTACAACAACTTTGATCCGATGGTTTGGGAAGTTTGCTATATCATTAAATAACACTCACTCTTTAAACCCAACATTACATCAACTTCATGCATAAACTGGCACTGGAATACATGCTGTGTTTTGATGTACAATGAGGAGTGTGAAAGGTAACTTGAAGGGATAATTTCCTTGAGGATTTGGCAAGAATCACGCTACGCCCCGTTTTAGTCCTGGATAGCTGTGCAGCACTTTCGTTGTTATTGCATTTTTCCGGAGTTGCTCGGTCCCGTCGATCTTCCCATTTCATATCTATGAAATCGTGCGGAGTGTCGCTCACCGCCGCTGCCTCAGCTGCTGCCCGGAGTCTCGGCGTTGCTGGTAATGACGAGGAGAAAATGGCGTCGGGAAAAGCGACTGAAATCGAAGAGGACTTTCCGAAGCTAACAGCGCAAGAGAAAGAAAGCTTGGTTGGAATTGACAGGTTAGACCATCTGTCGTGTGACCAGTCTCACACGTTCCTTTATTGCAATTTTTATTTTTTTCTTCGCGCAGTTTGAAACAAGAAATGTGAATGCCCCCAAGTAATACGGAACCGCCTGTGTGTTGTCTGTCCTCTACTTGCAGTTCACTGTTTGGATTTCATAGCCTTCAAGAAGATGGCGCCAGAACGAAGGCCTTGCTGTTAAAGGTATGCCACAGAATAGGATCATAGTCGCCTCTGTCCGTTATCTCCTCTGATTAGTGCATATCCCACCTGATATAAGTGGTACAGACCTCCCAACGCCTCTCTTGCTATATGGCTAGCTGCGATATACCCAAGCTCCAATTTTCTCAACTTTGCACCAGAACCAGCAACTGATTGTAAAAGCAGTTTTCACTTATGGACGTGATTATTGCAAATAACAGACATTTATGCCGCGAAGCACATAATAGCATTCTACCATGTTTACCCAAGTTGTATGAAACAGGACTAAACAATCAGACAGAACGTTGTGCCACAGTTAAGGCAGGACGGTCCGAATCTCCACCCTGCTAACATCGGTGGTGTTGTGAGAATAGGTACCGTGCTACGTGACAGCTTTGGTGTCGGCCGTTGACAAAGTGTTTGACAGAGGTATCCTTAATAACGTGTCTCAGGGACAGGCAGTCATGTGTGAGGAAACCACGTTGCTTGGTACATTTTCTGCACAGTTGTAAACTGGGACTCTAAGGTAAGGTTAACAAACCTTGCTACCTGTTAAATGTGACTTGCAAAAGTACGACATTTAAGAGGGTAAATGCACACTTCCTGAATGTTTATCGAGAGCAGAGACGTTAAGTTGACAGAGGTGTAGCTGTTGGGTGTCCCACAAAACCACCCGTCCCATCGTCGATAACAGGAGCTGGAGTTTGGGTTGTGCGTCAGATCACTCTGGTAGCATGTAGCGGCTAACTGTCCAACGGTTTTCTCCCTTCTTCGCTCACACATACCGCTTCTACAACACAACTGACATTACTGAAGGATAAGCAAACGGATAGTGGTACTTTAGTGTTGCAAAAATAATGGCTGCTTGACTTGGTTTAAGATGGCGGAGATGAGAAGAAAATCCCTAGCTAACTAGCAGCAGCGGCTAGGCTAATCACCCTTCGCAAAAATATATGACGACGAGGCGTTCAATGTTTATAGCAATGGTTAAGGCGGAAGCCCGGGCTGCCCACCTAACTAACTGCTCAATACTTGGTGCACACTACACCCTGCTCATGCAGCCCCTGTACCTACAGTCACGCAACCTGTGCTTGTTCTGTGTTCAACATGTAGCTTCATGATTTCTAGGTTTAGCTGGGAACATTGTTTTGTTAACGTCACTCAGATTAGGCCCATCCATGCTCTTAGTTATTGTCAATTTTTTGTTTTTGCTGACCTTCATACTCTGCATGATACCTGGCCATCCACGCAGGCTTGATTCACATAACATTAAACATGTATGGTCTGATTGTGAGATCTTTTCTTATATAAGACAGTGTCATTTTAAAACACTTTAGTATTTCAGTGGTGGAGTGTAGCTCAACTGATACCAAGTTCCCTTTATATCCTCTCTCTGGACTCTACCATGTTAAATGTGGGGGAAGGGAGAGCAATAGTTCAGTGTGGGGCATGGTTTAGACTGATATAGAGCCAGCAAAACTAAACAAGAAAACAACGATTAATTTTCGTACTGTGCCAGTATAGTTTTCACAGTTGGAAAATGCATGTGTAAGTGTAGTGAGTTTTTTTTTTTTTTTTTAAATGCTTAATCACTGTCTCTGCAGGGTACACGGTTTGAGAACTCTCTGGCACAAATTCATAGGTAGAAGGTGAACAGAGCATTATACCAGGACTGCTACATCACCATTAACACCATGTGTGGGAAATGATGCATTGCTCTGATATGTGAGGAAATGGCAAATTTATGGATGATTCCTTATGTGAATGTGTGCATAGGTGCTATTCCTCTTGTGTGAGATCAGGTGGTAGGGTCTGTGTACACTTCAGTTTGATTTGACTTTAATCCTCTCCAACACTTCTGTTAGCTTAATATTACACCGAGGCAAAGACCAGCATTTATTTCAGTAAAAAAACAATGGCATTATTAATTTGGGTTGGCTTTCCAGCAATGAATGATTTATGAATGCTTTATTAGGTCCATTTTGTCAATTACAAGTATGTTTTTCAGTGGTATGCTCAGTATTTTATTTATTCTATGTATATTGAGAAATAATGCTACATCATTTGAAGATTGAGAAAAGGGGTTTTGTAGTGCACGAAACAGATGATGTGATCTCTTGAAGCCTGCAGGGTTGCTGCTCGGATTATTTTGGCGTCAAAAAACATTTTAATGGAAGTTTAGATCGCAGCTTTTGCAATTTGAAACTCACGTTCTGTTAAATCACGATTTTGTTGTGACAATGATTAATCGTTCAGCCTTGCTATCCATCTATATCCAGAGAATTGTTGAGTTATTTAAGAATGACCCGTGGATGAACGTAACGTAAAAACACAATCAATAGTACTACAGTTAGTGGCACAGTGCAGCGGTTTTGCTTTACCCGGTCTTTTGCTTTTGGTTTTCACTCATAAGATAAATACATCGCTGAATTGTTTTATGAGGTAATTACCAGTTTTTAAAAATCTAAATAGTTTTTCTGTTCTAACATATTGCATCCAGCGTAACTGCTTGTTTCACAGATGTGTGCACACAGTCATATTACTATATTACTAAACACTGAGCAATGATTCAGTGGCTGCAGTTTGGGCTATCAAGAGCAATTTGTTTAGCCGTTGTTTAAATACTGACTGGCAAGGCCCATATTTGGGAATACTGCTGGTACTATGCAAAACAGCCCTGGAAGGTTTAGAAAACACATTCCCTCAGTAATATATCAGTCAGCTGTGTCTGACCATCACCTTCAGTAAAGTTAAACTATTGACCTAAGCATTAATCATGCTGGCTGTTTATGACTTGGTCATTTTTGTGTAGTTTACACAGGATATACCAACCGTGTAAGTGTGTGTCTTCATTGCAGCTGTGTGGCACAACTCACTGTATCCTGCTGTTCTTCTTTCATTTAGGCTGTTAGCTACTATGATGCTCTCATCCTAAAAGCAGAGGGGAAAGTGGACCCTGACATTTTCTGTCAGCTGGGCCACTTCAACCTCCTGCTGGAGGACTATGAAAAAGGTGAGTCTCAATATGTAAAATCATGCCTGTTACTGTTTCTGCTACCTCTGCTTCTCTCACATCTGTGTCTCAGGATCAGCTGCTAGCTAGATTCTCATGTGGAGCTATTTAATATGCGTTGTTGTTGAATAGATTTTCTGTATTCAGTATTCTGTTTACTACATCTTAAACCTGCTGACAGAGCAGGGTTCTGATTTTGTGCTTGTCTTAAAAAAATGGAGATGCACCAACCGATTGGCGGAGAACTGAAATGGCCAAGTTTCAGCGTGACCGGCCGATTACTCAGAGATATCTGATTCTGTGCTGGTCACATTTAGAGGCCTGACAGTCCACATTGTGTGTATGTTGGCACAGGTCGATACATATTGTGTGCACTTTGGGCGAGACTAGCGCTCGTCTTTATATTGGGCACATGCTCACTTGCGCATTGGAAGTGCTAGGTGTACAAACAATGCACGGAGAAGCCTACAGAAACTCTTTGGAGAAGGGAAACTGTGACCAAATCTCAGACAAGCAGTGCACAATGATGGAATTAGTGGCTACACATGAAATGCATGTATGTGCACGGTGTGGCCAATCTGTGGTAAAACAGCATTTACAAACTACACACACACTTCAAAAAAGAACTGTGTGCTCGGTAGGACCAATATATAAAGGACAGTTTTCTGTTTATGTTACTTGTTGCACTGGTTTATATTTGGAGAAGTACAAATATTGCACTTCAGTTTTAGTTGGTTTGAAAAAAAAGGGGGGAGCAAAATATAAAACTTTAATATTTAATAACGTTTTATTGTTTATTCTAATAAAAATTTTCATGAAAGAAAAGTTACAAAACTGTCTGTGTATGCTGTCAGTTACAGTTATTACAAAGAAAGAATATTGGACTTAAAAAAGGAATTGGAAATTGGAATCGGCCCCAAAAACTGGTGTTGGTGTATCTCTGCTTAAACCTTCCCTCAGTGAAGTGTTACAGCGCAGTTGAATTAAATACGTTTAAGCTTTTAACACTGCACTAACTGTTTACCACCTGTGTCTCTCCATCTTTTTTTTGTCCCATTCTTTTATCTATCTTGCCATTTTCTCAGCATTATCTGCATACCAGAGGTACTTCAGTTTACAGCCAGACTACTGGAAGGTGAGCTCGCACACACTACGCGTGTAAAGCAATACATTTTATTTTGTAGCACTTTTCAGTGGCGCTGTTTGCTGGGAGACTTGGTTAACGGCCGTTCATGTAGGTTGTCTATGTTGTTTTCATGTTTTGTTTTGTTTTTGTTTTTTTCTTCGGTTTGTGTTGCTCTTGTTTCAGCTGATGCTTCATGTTCTAATAAATAAAACTGTTGATGTAAGTTGCTGTTTGGCCAATTTGAAAATGAAACACAGGTGTTATCTGATTTTGTTATATTTATAAATGGAAAGTGAAAATTACACTAGCCTACTATGTGCATCCAGTTCCAGGTGTGTGTCTGTCTGAGGGCAGGGTTACACTTCCTCAAGGTGCTCACAGCAGAACAGACAGAAGCTGCGCTTTGGCTGCGTTCACACAAAATTGTTCCCACAAGGTTGTGCAGAGGTGTGGCGGGTTTCATTCGTGTTTTAGACCATAGCCACAGTGAAACAGTCACCAAACAACATTTTAATTCTCTGGCTCGCTTTGTTCTCTCTGGCGCTGATTTCTGTCCTCATTCACTTGCCAGTGCTCCCTCACGTGGACATCCATCTGATTCTGCCTCGTCCCTGTTATACAGGAGGTGGGAGAACACGTCTCAGAAAAATACTACCTCTCATCGCAGCATTTTGAAGGGTCAACATTGATCCCCCCCTTGCTAGTAACTACTGTTTATACAGAATGGCGAGGCAGAAAGCTCCTGCATCGAGTGGGCAGTGTAAAAGGGGCTGTGACAGCCCTGTTTACAGTCTAGTACCCAGCCTCTAGCCAGGTGTCAGCTGGGATAGGCTTCATTTAATCTCATAATAATCTCATAATCAAAACATCTTCTTTTGTGTCATCTGCAATAACGGATTTGTTTTTGGCTGCTTGGGTTATACAAGTTGTGAGCACAGTGTTGGCATATCATCACCTTTGAAACTGATCTGTCAAACTTGTTAGCAAACGGTTTTTTACATAGCCAGCAGTTATGGAGTGAGGACTGTTAAGTCCAGTGCGCCCTCTCTGTGTTAGCTGCTAAATGCTCCGTTGTGTTCACCAGATGGTCTCTGACTGGCTCTGTCTGCTGAGCAGGTACTGACAGGGACTTTTTAGAAGTTTTTATTTTTATTTTTTTACTGAAAGCAGCTGTATGTTGTGGCTGAAAATGACAATGGGTGCAGTGAGAGTGAACCAGAAGACTAAAGCTGTGGGCCAGACAGCTGATCAGTGATCTGAGACTCTGTGAAGCCAAGGAGAGTTGTACATTCAGGTGATCATTCTCTCTACATGATCACGCCGTTTTCACCTTCATTTGACACACTGATGTTATAAAATATTGGTTATAGCTGCTGTGGCTCTTCTTGTGTACACATGCTGTCACTGTGGATACCATACATTAGTTGATACTGCTGCCCTGATCCTGAGGGCCTCTATCAGGGCATATGGTCCTTTATGGTGTGAAATTAAGAGTTACCCTACCCCTTTTATCATATTGTTCAAGGTGTTTTAAATTATGGCCTTGTTTGTCCCTGATATGTACTGGATCATGTCAGTTTTTGCGTAACTTGGGGTTAAGTATTGTCATCCCAACAAGCTTAGCTGGGTAGGACTTTTACAAAACATGTTTAACAGTGTTTCTGTATTTTTTGCCTTGATTACAATTCCTGATCATGGCCTGGAGTTAAATGGCCCCATCAGCTGTGATGTGATGGCATCCAGCCTGTCCCCTCCATGCTCTCTGTGTGGATGAATAGGCCCATTTGGTCTGATGTTTCACTGTTTGGAATGGCCATTAAACAGGGGTGCTGAGAGTTTGATTGTGATTGGACCTGACAGTTCTGGGGTCCCAGGGATTACAGAGCTCCACAGTGAAGTGAGGGTGTGAAGTGTTGCCCTCTGCTAGGTAATGGTGGGGGTAGAACCATCTTTAAATAGTCTGAGTTTGGAACCCAAAGGTTGGGCTTATAAAGTCCTGGGCTACGCTGGTTAATTGAATAGGGCTCCAACTGGTCTCCTAACAGAGATAGAGATACTTTTAGGGCAGAAGAAATGTATGTTGATGATGGAAGTGCATTGATTTGGGCTCAGTGAGTCGGCGTGACTCATTGGCTGAATCTCATCAGTTTCTTACATGAATGTACAACCTAGTGTGCAGTTTCACAGTAAAAAAAAAAAAAGAGAGAGAGAACCAAGAAACAAATGATAAATGTTTTGTTACAGAGATGCATCACTAATATGCTGCATGTAACATCATCAAGGTTAGAATTGTGAGCTTTTAGCTTTGTTCCAAGTTGTGAGCAGTAACTGTCTATGATGCTGTTTGTAACAACCTTTAACCCTTTATTTCCAGAATGCTGCCTTTTTATATGGACTTGGCATGGTGTACTTCCATTACAACGCATTTCAGTGGTAAGTGCTTTTTAAAACATGCTTGGCATTACCCAGCCTTATACTGTTGATGATGTTTGTCGATTTGGAAACGTGGTGGTTAAACGAAGCTGCATTCCTTCTTCAGAAATACGCCTTCACTTTGGTAAATACTTGGGATTTCTTTTGTTTTAGCTCTATCATCATTTACAGATGCAGCATATTTTGCGTGGCTTTAATCATGTTTTGTCAGGGGCAGATATGTTAAGCACCGCACTTGGTGCACTTTTCAGATTCATAGGACTGGGTTTTGGTTAATAGTCTTACACTTGTACAGCGCTTTTCTATGCATTGCAGCACACTCAAAGCACTTTCACACTATTTTGGCCATTCAGCCATTCGCTCTCACATTCACACACCGGTGTCATCAACTGGGGGTTCAGTGTCTTGCTCAAGGACACTTTGACATGTGGACTGGACAAGCCAGGAATCGAACTGTTAATCTTCCGGTTAGGAGGCGACCCGCTCTACCTCCTGAAACACAGTCGCCCCCTCGGTTTTCAGTTCTGTCATTTTCGATTTTCCTTATCGAATCAGGTTCTTAACAAATCTCAGTTTGGGTTTTTTTGGAGAGAAAAATGAGCACGTTTAACAAATTTCCTACTGCTAAGATGCACCTGGGGCTGTGAGACTGAAACACGTCAAACACGGTACCTTCCTTCAGATTCATACCATGTTGAAATAATGGTTCATGATACTGGAGGCGCTTCCTCCTGTGCACAAAATGTCCTTACTGCAGGTGTTGCATTTTGCTGTGTTATGGTGGTTTTTTTTTAGTGAAGCTAAGCCAAATTTGAGAGCATTGCCAGTGGTTAGCTGTGGTCCAGGGTGTAAACAGAGGTGTCTGTTCTCCCGTGCTTTGTTGAAAATACTGTGTTACGAATGATATGACATTAGCTTCGTGTAGCAGGTCCTGGCAAATGAGTGAAACTTTTCTGAAGTGCAAAATGCTCACTGTCATTCACTGATCAGTGTGGCTGAAATATGCAAACATTAGAAACCAAAGAGCCTGCGTCTTCTCAGAACCACAGTTCTTGGACATTTGGTTCTTAAGCTGTTAGCCTACAAATGAACCCCACTGCCACAGCTATGAGGATTGGAGAGACAGCTATCCAGTGTGTCAGGCTATAGCATTAACGGTCTTTGCCTGCTGCCTTTGTGCCCATTGAGTGTGATTTTGCTCCTATGGTAAGCTGCCACAACAGAACTTGGGTCTGTTTTCAGCTTAAGCCAAACCTTTTAGGCCTTAAACCATGCCATAAAGATTAATGTCTTTTAAATGGACAGTCTGGGTTTTTGCTTTAATTCTGCAAGGAAACCCCCCATTGATGTGTCCACTAGCACTGAATCCCTACCAGTGGCAGGAAGCTTCATGTGTTTATGGAAATAGTTCAAAAAAATGAAAGAATTTCTCTAATAACATCCAGTACATCTATAATTAGGCGCCACAATTAGGCTATGACAATGTCCTGGTTACATCAGCATCCTCAGTAGAGGTCCAGCTGGGCCCATTACCCAGTGTGGTTTAGCTTCTCAAGGGGACTGTGTTGTCGGATGTGTGCTTTTAATCAAACAGATTTAGAAGCTAGTTTGGCACTGCATCAGGGAGCACCGCGTCGCTGACAGAATCCAGTTTTGAGAACTGTAGCTTGAGCTCGGACAGATTTGGATTTAGGCACATTATTTTCATTGACCACTTCATTCTGTGCTAAGCTGTTTGCTCCTACAGTGCAGGTGTAACAGGTTCACACATCACTGGTTCTGAACCACTTTGCCTTGATGTGCTGAGACTTTCTTCATCTCTGCTGACTTGCAGTGTCTGTCCTCTTCTGTTTTGCCTTCTGCTGCCCGTGTAGCCTTGAAGGCCTCCAGTGTTGGTGCCCTGCCAAGTTTATGTTCCCCCTCTCTGCGGCCAGGGCAATGTGTCATGGGGGAGGGTAACATGTAAGACTCTAAAGCATGGATTATGTCATCGTGAACTTAAGTCCCAAAGAAATGCTGAGCTGTCAAATAGTCACAGGCCTGAACCGTGGGTGTATCCCGTGAGCTGTCAATTCTTTTCCAGTGGCCGCTTGTTATACTGCAACAAAAAAAATCTCCCTGCTGCCCAAAAGGCATTTTCTCCACAGACAGTGATAAAACAGATGTCTGTAAAACTGTTGACAGGACACCTCGAACGGCAAAACAGACAGATAACCTCTTTATAGTTTGAATTTTAATCCATGGAGGTTTTATATTTGTAAAACTTAAAAGTTTGGTTTGTGTGATGACATCCCAATATAAAGTCGACGGGCCGAGCGGGTGAGGACGGTAGGGAAATGCACACCTGTGCAGTGGGCCGCAAAAACTGAAGAAAAAAAAACCTCATTTTTGGCATATGAGTAATGTGGGCGCCAACTTGTAGTCTGGTATCAAGATCTCATCAAACATCCTGGGGCTGACATGGTCCATCTGTCCTGCCTGGTGTGTCAGTTTGCTAATGATTGGCATGGTCATTATACAATGAATCCAAAGCTTAGCTGCAAATGTTAATGTAGAGAAAGTGTGGATTATTTATCCTCTAAAATCAGAGGTAGTATCTCATATGGCCTACATTATTATGGATCCAAAGTTTGTGATTTTCCTGCCGTTTTGTGGCCATTAGATACTGAGAGGTAAAAGTAGCCTGTCGCTGCTGGAGTCTGCCTTATGCTCTCCAGGCATTCACTCTGTGAGTGAGGGAGGAACCACATAAACAAGGGCGGAGGGAAAGGGGGCATTGAGTTCATTCTGTTCTGTGTGAGTGTCACCCAGTGCACGGTGAGCTCAGTGCTCTGCAGGCCCGTACGGGAGAAGGGCTTCATGCTCACATGCGGTTGCTGTGCATAATTTTTTGCTTTGATATGCTCTTTCTCCGTAGACTACAGGCAGCATGTGAACTGTTAATATGATGGCAGCCTTTCAGGATTTCATGTCTACAACACGCTACACGTGCAAAGCCAGCCCTGGGTCACTGACCAGAGAAATGTAGCAAACATTTTAATACCAGCTACTGTATGTATTCAAAGCTCCATGATCAGAAACCATTGTCTAGATAAGGCATTCATTTACAGATTACATGTTAATACCAGGTGCAGTGCAAGTCCAGATGATTATGTCCCAGTAAACAGTATTTGTTATGAATGTTGGATATCAAAATGTACACTCTAAGAAAAGGAAAGTGCACATGAGCTGTGTTGTCACACATCTGTATACAGTAGTATCTGTAGCAGGTAAGCAGTCAGTCACAGTGCAGTTTAGAAGCCATCTGTCCTGGTGTTGGGGCTACACTGTACTCATAACGGCTGCAGAACATTATAGTGACACATTTTGATTGTCGGAATGTACAGTATTTTACATTCTGGCTGTTTGGACAACAGTTTGTTACAATATCACCCACCTCTAATTTAGACCAAGCACTGTGTAAAAGCAGCGTGTGTATGTGTTCTTCCAGGGCAATCAAAGCATTCCAGGAGGTGCTTTACATTGACCCCAGCTTCTCAAGAGCTAAAGAGATTCATCTGAGGCTGGGACTCATGTTTAAAGTCAACACAGACTACGAGTCAAGCTTAAAGGTAAGTCTAAACAGTTGGAAAAACCCTCCGATATTTTGGGGGTCATGATGTTTATTTTGGTCCAGGACAAGCGGAGCCTGGTGCTGAGTTTTAGAACTGGTTATCAGCCTGGCAGCTGGGCACGGTTCATGTTAAATGAATGTTTCACTGGTGACACCATATCTTTTTATACCTCTTTATGGTGATGTATGTAATTACTATGTCACTATGGTGAGTGTGCAGTTATGCTCAACTGCACAGATTTGTTAACAACCAGATCAATTTCGTGCAAGTGTCAGCAAAATGAAAACAAACTTTAGTAGTTGTAGAAATATAAAACTTGATTTTAGACTGGACTCTTACAATTGATGGAAATAGTCAAGGAAAATGCAGTGATTGTGCTTTTTATAATTCAACTGCAGCAATTAGTCAGTTAATTGGTTATTCACCCTACAAATTGCCAACTATTCTAATAACCAAACACTTTAAGCGAAAATCCAAACATTTGCTGTTTTTTGTGGTTTTCTTTTTCACACATGTTCATAAAACTCACTGTTGTTGGATGGTTGAAGTGTTGGTCTGATAAAACAAGTAGACCTCACCCTGGGATAATGGAAGTGAAGTTTGGGAATTTTCTTCTGTTTCTGACATTTTATTGACAAAATATTAGTCAGATTAATAAGTGATAGTGATAATAATCCATTAGTTACAACCCTAATGCATACCCAGTAGTACAAGGTCTAACATTGTCCTGCCAGCACAGTGTGATCATGGATTCTCCTTCAAACTGTGAATGATAACAAGAATAACAGTAGAATCCTTTCCATTCATATCATTCTGTATTGTAAGCCTGCTTAAATAGACTGGACCTCCGTAGACCACAGACAGGTGGCTCATTTGTCAGAGCTGAGCCCTGTCTACTGACACCTGTGAGCCAAGGATGTTCAGAAGTGCTTTCTGACTGTGGTCTATGATTTTGTTTTTGTCTGAGGCACCTGGTGTTCTTTAGGACTCGACTGCTACCAGATTCTGGACTTTGTCCTTTTCCAGATGTGGTGTCACAGGATTTTTATTATGCATCTTAATGCGTTGGTTTACATTTAAACGCACAGGCTTTGTAGTGAATGGAAGAGTTCCTGTTAATTCTGTAACGGTCTTATTTGTGTAGTATTACTATTATAATGACATATTAGAGGTGGAATCAGAACTTGTTTCAACAGACAAGTTGAATATTATAAGTTCCACAAATGTTTGTTGCATTGAATTGGTGTAAGTTCATGATAGATTCCTGCTTTTTACAATTAAATTTAAGATAGTGTAGTATCTAGGAGGTGATGTGCTCATATACATCTGTGTGTACTGAGGCTCATGGAGCTGCAGCATTGAGCTAAGTAGGCTGCACGTGCTGCACGTCCTCACTCTTCCTCACCTCGGATGCACCGCTCCCTGGAAGTGCTGGCTTATTGCCAGTGACGTACACACCTCTCACACATGACTGCCCCAGCTATCTACAGGGAGGTCTGGGCGCATGTTTAGAGGAGCACAGACTGAATAAAGGAATGAGAGGGAGAAATGAGAAGAGGGAAACAGAGAGGGCAGAACAGGAAATGTTTGAGAGGGAGAAATGAGAAGAGGGAAACGGAGAGGGCAGAACAGGAAATGTGTTAGAAAGTGCTTCAGATAAGTGTGGGGACAAAGGGAACAGAGATTTTTAAGAAGCATGCATGTAGCATGATGCTTCTCATCCTCTTTTCCCTTGGAGCACAGTGGACAGAGACTGAGAGGCATCATGTGATGGAGAGATGCCTGCAGTTTCTGAGAGTACATTGGAACCGAAATGGGAGCCAAACACTAACGGCATCAGACTTTTGACCCATGCTACTGAACATATAGACACTCACGCTAATCTAATTCCACTGGGGGTTGCTGATTTAGCCAATGAGAGCAGGGGGATGGAGACTGTGTTCGTACACTGGGTGTTGGTAAGGTGATGAGTTGAATGTAGAGCTGTGAAGCCACAGAGAAGAACCTGGAGCTGACAGTGGGAGCGGGGTGGCAAGGAGAAGTGGTGTGTGGCTGCCTTTCCAGCTTTGAGGTATTGTGTGTCATCTCTCTGCACTCTCTGCTGCAGCCGTCTGCTGAATAATAATCAGTGACACCAGGATAGAAGACGGAGAAGGAGGGGGGGAGAGAGAGAGAGAGAGAAAAAGATAGCACAGAGGGAGGAAGGCGAGACATGGGGAGGGAGGTGGAATACCAAGCTGACAATCCTGCTGCATTATCTGCCTGGTGGTAGAGCAAGTGTGAAAGAGAAAGAAGGGAAGGATACAGGAGACCGAGGGACAGATCTACAGAAGGATGCAGTGGAGTTTCAGGAAGAGTGTGATGTGCCCGCAATCTAGGTAATGCGTTTGTGTCTGAGTGAGTGTGTTCTCTGGCATTAAGACATCTGGCTGTGAGGATTTTATGTGCTGCTTTGTGGCTGATACCTCTGCCTCAAAGGGAGTTTATTCTAAGCATGGTCCCGTGTGTCTGTGTGCGTGCATGTGAGAGTGTGTGAAGCTCCACTGGCCCTGGGTGAAGCAGGCATGGAATAATCCAGCTAGATGACTCTTGGTGTGTCCCCCCCCCCTAATCTGACATTGACCTCCTGTATAGCTACTAAAAGGCTACGGACTCCTCCTTTAAGTGTGTGTGTTTGTGGTTACAGTTATCTTTTGCTGTAGCCTAGATGGCAAATACTGACATTTGCCTTTAAGGTTGCAGCATTAGTTTTTTTCTCTAAGAAATCCACTCTAGCTGGCCAGTGAATCATGGCAACACCAGCTCTGCTCCATAACTTGTGCTAGAGTCTTTGGCAGTTGTGAGTTTTAACTGACCTAAATAAGAGACTGGTGGGGGGGTTTTTTTGTATATGCATGAAGCTGTGCGTGACTGTGTCGGGTCAAGGTGAAGCTTAGTAGCTATAGCAGAACCTGTCACCTTGAAGCCACTTTTTGCTTTACAGGCTCAGACGCCTTGCTGGAATTCTTCTTCTTTTTTCTTTTTTTTATTTGATCAGGTGCCTTTCGTATGCACAGTGCCCTAAAATGCAGTAGTATACATGACTTTAATAAAGACTAAGGTCAAAATAATGGTGCCTTACAGATGAGGGGAGTGAGCGCCAGAAGAGAAATCCATCTCTGTAGCTCTTTGGCTAATCTGCTCAGTGCCCCAGGATGGACATATTGACAAGTAACATGCCACGCCTTGGCAGTCTGGCTAAACCCATGCAGACATCTGCCTTACCTGGCAACCCTGTTTTTAGTTGGGATGATGGGATAGGATGCACCTCTAACTATTGGATATCAGTGATTCATTTTATCTCCTGGTTGGACAAGAGGAAAAAGGCAAGGCTAGAGCATGTTGACTGATCCAGAGACCAGAATATCTGTGGTTCAGCCCCTCCAGCTATCAGTGTCCTCTCATGTTACGGTCATCAGAGTTCATTCATGGCTCATTGCTGATCTGCTGGGGCTTTCAGTGAAGCACACTATATGTAGGAGAATAGTAATTTCCTCCTAGTTTTCTTAAAAGCATCAGCAGTCCAGTGCTTTATGTTGTCAGACCTATCATTAAAAGATAACACTAGATGTTTGTTTTTCATCCTGCAATGACTGTATGAGCACCATGAAAATGCTTCTCTAGATTAGGTGCAGGTTTATGGTATTTCCATTTATAATAAAATGCTTCCCTTTTTGTTGCAGCATTTTCAGCTGGCTTTGATCGACTCCAATCTCTGCACTTTGTCCAAAGCTGAAAGTAAGTAACTTTGCTCTAATCACCAGCCATGCACCAGCCGTTGTAATGCAGTATTACATTTGATGCACCAGCTTGTCAGTGGCAGGCACATAGATTGAAAGGGCACAGGAATATTTCTTCACAGCCATTTTTCCTCTCTGCTGCCGTTTCCATGCTGACTCTGCCTAAGACTGGGGTTGCCTAGGAGACAGCACAAGGGGAGTGAGAGCTGGAAGCGCTTACAAGCACGCTGCACATACACGCTCTGATTTCAGATTGTATGCACGCTCTAGGGAAGCCATGCCATTTCCCCCTCCCACCCCTGCTCCATACTGTTTGCAGTCTGTACACACTGGGGTCCAGGGGGCTAATGCGTCATATCGCTGCTGTTTTTGACCAGTAGGCCCTAATTCTTTCTTCTGCTTTTTTTGTCCCACAGTTCAGTTCCACATTGCTCATTTGTATGAGATCCAGGTAAGCAGCTATAATTATTGTTTCAATATTTAAGGCGGTTTGAAATTTTAACTCAAAGTATTGAAAATACAGCCATATTGACAGTTCTTGATATTAAAACAAGTTGTCCTTTTTTCACATAATGCAGTATTTGTGCCCCTTTGTGCGTTTGACAAGGGCTGATGTAGTGTTTGTTACTAATGCCTCAGAGCAGAAGGGTGTTATTCTGTTGGCGCCCATAGTATCCAGGTACTAATATGTGTTCTTCTACATATACTGTTGTATTTAGCTGGCCCAGTAATTGTTTACACACATGCCACTATGTGTGGGGAAGAAGTATGGGTTCTTATTGTGAAGCAGACAGGATGTTGGGATCAGAACCGTTGTTTTTGAACATGGCTGTCATGGAATAAATGTGTTGCGAGTTAAGACGAGTGTCATTTGGAGTTTAGTGTTAGATGAAATAAAAGAAGTTGATAATCAGATTTACTTTGGCTTCACATATACACACACATACATTCATGCACATGGGCTGGTCCTTTCTACGTCACTGACCAAGGTGACTTTTTTTGCAATTATAGTTAGTTCTGCCTGAATTTTATGCATTGCACATAACTAATATTATGGTTACAGTACATAGAATTGCCCTTAGCTTTTCTACCATTTGTGTGTAAAGCGTCCTGTTCTTTTAATCAAATACAAAGCCAGTATATATAGAGGAAGTATATAATTGTGACTGGGAAGTTGTTACTGGTATGTTCTCGCAGTCAGTCCCTGTTTTCAGCTGCATTTGTTGTGCTGCCGCACATTAAACATGAAAGTCACCAGCTGGTTTGCTTTTCCATGTTTCTGATGTTAAACTGCTTGTTAGGTGTTACTACCACCGCCTGCCTGTTGAAGCTCTAGAGCAGGGCTGCCCAATCCGATGATGTAATGTCGCTAGATCTCGTGTCAATATAATGACCTTAGTTAATGCTTTCAAATGAAAAATGCAACATCTTGGGGAACTTCCAAAACCTCAAATCAGAGCTGGAGACTCAACAGAAAGCTTGTGCGCAACTTGTCATTGCGCACTACACAAAGCAGATTGACAATTGTCCGGCAGAGTTTGACAAATGTATTCAAGACTTTGCCTCACTTGAGCCAGTTGCTATATTTATGTGCTCCCCATTTAGGGAAGATATTGAGGTTAATTCACTCGCATCAAAAATTGCAACGCTGTTTCACCTGAACTGGTCTGGAGTGGAGGATGAGATATTGACACTACAGACTGACATTCAGCTGAAGTTTTGGAACTTGCAGAGGAAAAGTACCCAAATATGAGGAAATGTGCCATTGACTGCATTATTTGGCTCTACTTATTTGTGTGAGTCAGCATTTTCTTACACGAAGATTATTAAGTCCAAATACCGCTCCACCATGACTGATGACCTTTTGGAAGTCTGCTTGAGGCTGGTTACCAGCAGCTACTGTCCGGACTATGTAGCCCTGGCTGATTCCATTCAGTGCAAGTGATCAGAGTAAACTAACGACCAAAAAATTACTGTGTGCCTTAAGGTTCATGCAGTTATGCAAGGTGCGCCAACATATGTTGTGTTTACATAAGGTTTACTCCATATATGAATACATATATGTTTAGTATTTTAACTGTAAGTAGATCATTTTGACTTGGTCATTTGAAAAGTAGCTCGCAAGTCGAAAAAGTGTGTGCACCCCTGCTCTATGGAGTGGGTCCTACATCAGCATCAGTAGCATTATGGTGGCTAATGCGAGCTAGTGTTAAGAGTTTAGACATATATACAATGGGGCAAATAAGTATTTGATACACTGCTGATTTTTCAAGTTTTCCCACTTACAAAGAATGGACAGATCTGTAATTTTCATCATAGGTACAGCTCAACTGTGAGAGAATCTACAAAAAAAATTCCAGTAAATCATTGTTAGATTTTTAAATAATTTATTTTCCATTTGTACAAATTGTACAAGTCAATATAAAAATATGAACAGATAAAAAAATGAAAAGGTATGGGACCTAATCAGGTCAACGGCATTAGCAGCAGAAGAATATAGTGACAGCAATTGGCCAGTAGCCTCCCGTTATTGCTGATGTGATGGTGTTTAAATGTAATAATGCACTTCAGAGTGTCCCAATAACACAAAATACTGGACAGGCCCCCAAGTGCATCATTTCCTTGCAGTGAACCAACTGTGTCCAGGACCCATCGGAAGTGAGCTGCCAAGCAGACGTTCACTCAAAACTGTAGTTGGAACATAAATACAAAACAATACAGATGATTTTCTGCACGAGATTTATGGAGATCTTGAGTTGAGTGCATTGGACTGATCATGGGAGTCAAACTGCTCTTTAGGTATTCTGTCATATCAGTGTTTGTCACCTGGTTCAGTGTCAGTCATTAATGTAAGCAGGAAGGAGCCGCTACAAGCCTCTGCCTTTTGCCCCAGGCATCAGTGTTTGCCCTGCGGTGTCTTTGTTATGTGCAGACAGGAAGAGTCCTGAGGTCTATTCCAGAAGGCAGGTTTGATAAACTCTGAGCAGAGTCCCGTGTTAATTGGAAATACAATAATAATATAATAATAAACATCATTTATATAGCACTTTACAATTCGGGGAGCCCAAAGTGCTGCACAGAATATGGATAACTATACACTAAAAACAACACTAAAACCGACAGAGCACTACTAAACTATAACCCAGTAATCCTAAAATATAAAACATGCACAATGCCGTTCAACGGCAAATAAAACAAATTAAAGCTCGAAAGCTTGTTTAAAAAAAAAAGACCTTTTTAATCTGGATTTAAAAACCGTTAGCTCGGTCGTAGATCGAATCTCTAGCGGTAATGAGTTCCAAAGTCGACAGCCATAAACCGCAAATGCGCGGTCCCCCCAATTTTTGGATCGGGACCGTGGGACCACTAGGGATAAGTTTTCCGAGGAGCGCAAGGCTCTGCACGAAACATAATTAGATAAAAGATCTGCCAAGTAAGGTGGGGCAAGGTCATATAAGGCTTTAAACGCAAATAAAAGAATCTTAAACTCGATCCTAAAATGTACAGGCAGCCAGTGTAAAGCGCGGAGAACCAGAGTAATGCGGGCAAGCCTGGGAGTGTTGGACAGAAGCCGAGCTGCTGTGTTTTGGACCAGCTGGAGTTTTCTAAGCAGCGACTGAGGTATACCAACGTACAGCGCATTGCAGTAATCTAAATGCGAAGTGATAAAAGCATGAATCGCCTTTTCCCCGAGATAAAAAAGGCTTAACCTTAGTTAAGAGTCTGAGATAAAAGATTCAAAGATATGAATGTGTGCTAATGCTCACTGACTCTGTGACTGCCTCTGGCTCGGCCCATTTAATCTAATAAAAAGCCGCTTGTATTGTATTTCCTGACACTGTATTTCTGGTAAGTAGCCTGTGATAGGATTGAGCCCACACACCTCTCTACATATTGGTTCAGACTCGAGGTCAATCAGGTCACAAAGTCCAAACAAAAGGTCGACTTACCCTCAGATTATACAGATCAGGTTTCCCAGGAACACAAAGCTGGCACTGCGGTGAACACACACATACCTAAGTGCAGACACACTTAAAGCTGCCAGACGTCAAGTCTAGCCATCCTCTTCCACTGACCCTCCCCCTGTGTGTGTTCATCTGGCTGGACATTATGAGTGTGAGGAGGTCTTTAGACCTTTTTTGTCTGTCCACATAGAACCATAAAACCCACTGACCCTCCTATCTGGCTTTAACAACCTCTCCATCTTCCTACTCCTCTCATTCTGCCTACAGAAGAAATATAGAGCGGCGAAAGAAACGTATGAAAGTCTGTTGCAGACAGAAAATCTTCCTGCACAGGTGAAGGCGACTACACTGCAACAACTTGGTGAGTGCGCAGATCTACTAAAACACTCATCTCTGTGAAATGTGACACATTATTGGCAGAAATTTGCATCAGAATTTTGGCATTCTGTGTCCCAAGCAGTTATAAGCGGTCACGCATGACAGTTGGGTACCGTTTGGAATGGGACAGCATTATGCTGCATGCTCTGGAGATGCTTTTTTTTTTCTTGGATATTTGAAATTTGTCCCTACAACATGCAAGGAACATTTCTGCTACTTTTTTCAAAGAGCAGGTTTGAGCACGTGTGCAGCGACGGAACATGGTCTCTTGTTCCCTTCCCCCACATGGTGCAGGCACACACAGGCACACAGATGCAAAATGATGTTGTCTGGGTACATTTGTAAAGAGTAGAAAACTGGATATTAAGAAATGGAACCATAGATTTCACACTGGAATGATTGGACACCATTTCAAAGTTTTCATTACACACACTTCATGATGATTAAGTTGTACTGCAATCTTAATTTAATTTAATTTCTTTTTTTTTTTTTTTGCTCTCCCTGTGTCGTTGCAGAGCTTTGACACAGGAAGAGTCTAACCTGTTTGTTTTGTCAGAGTCTAGCCTGTTTCCACATCAGACAGTGGTCCTACCTTTCTGATCGGACATGCATTTTGCCATTTGCCTCTACTTGTATTGTATGACTGAGCTGTTTTTTGCTGTTACTGTCACACCTACTATCTACCTTAGGAGCAATCCTGCTGGCTTTGTTAAAGGTGTTTGAGCTAAATCTGGAAGAGCCCTGATCCTTTGTTCTGCTTTTCCAGGCTGGATGCATCACACAGTGGAGCAGCAGGGGGATAAAGGCACCAAGGACAGCTATGCCATCCAGTGTCTGCAGAAGTCCTTAGAAGCAGACCCAAACTCTGGCCAGTCCTGGTACTTTCTAGGGAGGTAAGACAAAAAAGGATGTGTGCATTTCACAGGGCTGTGCTGTAACCTATCAGAAGCTGCGACTTTCTGTGAGTCCCGAGTAGACGGTTTAACCTAGGAGTCATCTACCAGCACACATCGGCTTTTTCTTGGTTGAATATTGTTGGCAGGGATCAGTGCTCCATAGGCCCAGTGGCAGCACGTGATCCACATCAAATCTTTATTGTTCCTGGGCTGCTCTTGGGCAGGCAGGCTGAATGCACACAGGCCCTAGACATGCTGACATAGACAAAGACTCAAATGTAGTTTACAATTTAAACAAATTAAGGATAGCTAAAAATCTGTCCTGTGTATGAGAAGGGCTGGTGCTTGAAGATCAAGACAGAACTAATAATGTATTTAGCCATGTTTTATAGTGTATGGAATATATATATTCAGCACATGGACTGATGGATGAAGGGAACAGATTATGTTATGGGTTGGTTTGGTTTTATTTTATATGTTATGTTTTTATTTATATTGCTGTACTGACTGGATGGCACTTTAAATTTTCGTTGTATGTGTTACAATGACAAAGATTATTTCTTACACAATGTTGGCAGAATGGGAGGTGGTTAGCAGTAGTGTTAATTTTTCCAGTCACACAAGATAAACGGCTTAAATGAGCTCTTTAGCTATGTTGTTATATTACTAGCAGTTTGTTAACAATACAAACAGTAGAGCTACTCTAAAATGACCTGCATCAATTGTCTTAGTACTAAGTTTCGATTTTTATTTGCTAGCAGTGCTGGATTGGAGCAGAAAAAGGCCAGTGTAATGCCGCCACCTGTGTGCTTTTTACACTACTGGCATCCCAGTATTAGAGGTTTGGTGTTAAACGTGACATGTAGCCATGCCTATAGCATACACCACAAGAAACACAAATCAATACCATACCAGTAACGTTGCTTTCAAATCAGCAGTGGTGGATGAACAGAGCAGGGATGTGCTTTTGCTCATCCAGCATGTTTGCAACATGACTCGTACTCAGGAGTTGTTATACATAGTGTACGCCATGTTGGTGATTGTGGCCATGAATTCTGTTTCTTACAAGCATATCACAGAAACAGCACTTCATCAAATATACACACAACCCCCCCAAAACGCGCCTCCCCTTTTATACAGAGGCCGAACAGTTGCACTAATTTTATTGCCTCTCATAGTGGAATAAAGGAGGGTCAACACTGACCCCCAGTGCCTGCTTGGTACCTTTTACACAACATGCCACGGCTGAAAATTGGCACAATAATCCTGCTTTAAATGGGCGGTGTAAAAGGGGCTAGAGATATCATCACCAGCAGGACATTTCAGTGTCTTTGACTGAATTGTAAGTCAGAGGCTGATGTGTTCAAAGTTCCAAGTGTTTATTTGTCATATGCACAGTTAGGAAACGTGTTTCCCTGTACAATGAAATTCTTACTTTGCCGTCCACATGAATGCCACAAAATACAAATGAAATATAAAGTAGATAAATAAGTAACGCAAAATCTAAGGCACTTTAAGCAGCAACAGATGATGTGAACGGTTTTCCCCCACACAGTCTGCTTTCCATTATGTAGGTTACATCTCCTGACAATGAGGGGCAACAGTTTTTTTTTTCTCACATATAGTAACACATTTGTATAGAAGGTAAAGTTTGTCTGTACAAATATGCTTAGACCCCTTCAGCTGTATCAGCTTAGTTCAGTGGTCACAGGTTGGTATATTGTGGATAGTAATGGACATTTGTATAGTGATATCAATTAGTGTGAGTAATGTTTGTGTAAGAGGGTCCCAGCAGAACCACAGACACTAGGCCATGAGCCCGATAGACAACTGAAATCATTGGCAAAAGTAGAAAGGGGTGTTTTTGCTACTGTATTTGAATCGCACTGCATTGTTACTTGTTTATAGGGCTGCACGATAAATCATTTTGTGAGTGTGATTTAGATCCCTGGCATTGTCACGCGAGACTGAGATCGCACAGGGATCTAAATCACACTCACAAAATGATTTATTGTGCAAGCCTACATGTTTAGCAGTCATTTCATTGTCTTTTTATCTCTTTCCTCATTGTCCATCTCCTCCAGGTGCTACTCCAGTATTGGGAAGGTACAGGATGCCTTCATCTCATACCGTCAGTCCATTGACAAGTCGGAGGCCAGCGCTGACACCTGGTGCTCCATAGGGTAAGGATAGAACACGTAGTGTACTGTTATACTGAGAGACACGGTAAAGGTCACAAACACTGGGAGGCTAATATCTGTAGGCTTGTGAGGGAAGGAGAAGCAGCTGGTGTGTACCAGCTCATCAGTTCAAGGGAGTTTTGTGCTCAGGGCCTCAGTGGAGATGCAGCAGCTGCACTGCGACAGATGACATAGGGAAGGGTGAGATAACAGAATGGTAGGAGGACGAAAAACGACCTATACATAGATGTATGATGGGTGGGTTGAGTCCTTTCGGAGTCACCACGCTGGGATGGCTCAGAAAGATGAGATTGGTTCCCCCTTTGCCTCCAGGGTGCTCTACCAGCAGCAGAACCAGCCTATGGACGCACTGCAGGCCTACATCTGCGCTGTTCAGCTGGACCACAGCCATGCCGCTGCCTGGATGGACCTGGGCACCCTCTACGAATCCTGTGGCCAGCCGCACGATGCTATCAAGTGCTACATCAATGCTACACGCGGCAAGGCCTGCCTCAACACTGCTGTACTCACACAACGCATCAAGCTACTGCAGGTAGGGCTGGAACTTGGATGAGTCAAACCCGGCAACCAGCCATGTGTGTTAGATGTTGTGGAGTATTTTGATGTGTGTGTATTGAAGTGCTGTGTTAAACACCAGGCATTAGCAAAGCAATCAGCTTTTTAAAATGCCGATTGTGCCCTTTGTCATTTTGATTTCTGACCACTGAGATATGAATAATGATTCATATTGATGTGTTTATACACGTTTTCTCACTGGTAACTGTAAAGCATACCTTCATAGCATTGCACACTTCTGTTATTTTCTGTATACGGTTACCTAAAACACCACCTGCAGTAGTTTTTGTAATGCCTTTCTTGTCAAGTACAAGTTCAGCACTAAAGTTTGTGTCTTACACAATTTCTCCTAGGCTCAGTTGTGTAACCTACAGCCAGGTAGTCTGCAGAATAAGAGTAAAATGCTT